GATAATCACCGTCTTTTTAGTGGATCGAATGATCCCACATTGATCTTAGACACTGGATGCATGCCTAATATATTTTTTTATAATAAGAATATATCTATTGATATTTAGAGTAGGCATTTTGCATAAATTGGTCACATGACCCCATGTCCCTCAAAACGAGCAGCTGTGTGAGAATGAACCACAGAAGTGAAAAGCGTACCCCAATACTAGTAGAATTGATGATTCCCCTTGTTACGTTTTCGTAGCGGTTTGCATTGTGGTTATAGTGGTATCACTGATATTCAAGATGGCTTATTTTTTGTCCCAACACGTGCAAGAACTTTTAAAAAAAGTTAGAGTTAGGTGCGCGATAGCCAACAGCAAAATATTCGCGAAGACATTCAATATTTTCATTCGAGGCCGCTATCTTTATCAGTGATACCACTATAACCACAATGCAAAGCGCTACGAAAACGTAATAAGGGGAATCATCAATTGCAAAGTTTCAGCTTATATTTTAAAATTTTCTTAGGATTTGTATTCGAAAACGCTCTTTGCCATCTAGAACATTTTTCCATACCATAGTCTGTCAGACTGCAAAATAGAAGAGCTAATTTGTCTGATGTTGAACTGTACCTTACCGTGGACAAATCATTTGTCTCAACTTCATTAAATATTATTCATCGTGGTTGCACATTTTCACCTCGGATATTCCTACTCGACGATTACTTCATTATACGAAAATATAAACATAAACCTCGCTAGAAATCTCGGACAGTCAGCGTTTCCGATTGCGGGCTCAAAAATTTCCACGCGTGTGCGTGACGTTCGCGTGACTTGTAGTAAACATAAATAATCAACAATGTCTTTTCATAAAGAGTTGAATAACTTGAGCGGAGCTGATTTTTGTGAATATTTAACAACGAGATCCAATAAAAGAAAGGCCGCAAAGTCGATCGTCGAGTGAGTTGTTCGCGGTTGAGCGGGTAAATTCGCGAAGAAACCGACGAGGAAAGATAAATTTATACGTTCTTTTATATATGCTTTAGAGGAATATCATTTTAAGAGGATAGACATTTTAAGACATGTTTCTTGCTATGGAAGTTGTATCAGTTTTAAAATATAAAAAATATTTCCTCAGCACTATATTTTCTCAACTTTCCAAACTTTTTAAAACTTAGAAGTTCAAATTGGATTTAACAATTCGTATTTCCCGCGATTTGTTTTGTTTATGAGCCTGTTTATGTCGCAGTTGTTAGTCAGCGGCTACTCCTTCGAATGTTTTCAAAATGGCGATAATAAAAAGACAGATATTTGGCAAAATTTCGTGTTTTTTCTTTGATAAATGGCTTTCAATGGCTGGAATGGCATTGTTAAATTTGGCCTGAAAACAGGGAATTTCAAAGCCAAAACGCCGCGTCGCTACAAGCTATGGTATTCTAAAACTTATTCGGAATGATAGCTTGAACATCGTGCAAGAAAATTAGACGTGTGCACCTTGTTGGCAAACTCGTTGGGTCGCGCTACAACGAGCTAAATGCAGCAAGTATGAAGGATTTGCTGGGTTTAATATAAGCTTATATTGTGAGGAAATATTGTGAATCGAATTCAGTCGCGCCGGATAATGGCAAATCGCGAGGGGTCGAAAACATACACCGATATATTTTCAGGTATTGTGTATTATTTGTAGACGTGTGCACCTTGCAAATCATGCTCTAATCGGTACTGCGCATCGATTTTACAATTATATAGTAGAAAGGCTTAGTATTTCCGCCATCTTGGTTTCGTCAAATTTGTTATTTGTGCGCATAATTATACTAATCGTCCGCCATCTTGTCCGAGATTTCTAGCCATGATAAATGCATTAATGCAGTATACATAGGGTATATAGGGTCAGGTTTTATACATGAATGTTAAGACTTTAATATTGCGGATATATGTTTATTTGAGTAATATGACACTGTAGTGATTACTAGTCAAGTGATCAATGACTCAACAAGGCTATTAGGCAACAAAAATGAGTGTAATACTATCATGAGATAGTTAAACATAATACTAGCAATCCGTAATATGATGAAATGAAACATCTTCCACAATTATCACCTTTTTGCAAGTACTTCTCCTTCACTTTTCTCTAAGGAGCGAGTTGTGAGAGTCAGTCAGACTGATAATTGCTATAATTATCTCCCATTTCATGAAGTTAATTTTTTGTTGAAGCTGCTTTCAGAGTGATTCAAATTGCGTTTCTGAGGTTTAAAAATATAAAATTTCCTGGGGGACATACCCCCCCTGGTGCCTCGCGCATTCACGGCTCGCAAAACTACATTGTACGTCCGAAAACGTTGACTAACGTACGAAAAATCCTCGATCCGCCCCTGAGTCAGAAACATTGCATTTGAACACTTTTGGCGATAACAAACATCATAAGAAATCATATCAAGTTTTTTATTTAACGTCATTCGGCCGTAATGGCAGTGAATCAAAGATTTCCGTCCTTAACTTTCCTATTATATGTTCACCCTTACCAGCCAGTGTTGATATTTTCGATTATCCACATATCCGAGAGTTAAAGTTAGCTGATTATGACGAAGGTCAAGGCCCCCGACTCGATTGATGTTCTAGTAGGCTCCGGGGAAACAGTCCGCGGGGATTTTGGTCCGATAGCAGTCAACAGTGTTTTCAGCAGTCAACAGTGAATTGGCTAAGTCCAAACAGGAAGGAGGTGAAAGGACGTCAGCGAATATAGTTATTTCCCGCACCTAGAATTTTATCGCCAGCGATAGTCAGCGAGATGATCAATAAATAGAGATTCTGCGACAGTTTTGGGAAATTGAAACAATAGGATTCAAGGAGCCCAACGAAGTCCACGATCGTGCTGCCGACGAAGGTTTCATCGACGATATAACATTTAACGGAAGAAATTACGAAGTCGGGTTGCCCTGGAAAGGGGGTCTTTTCCCCGGTATAGTATAGTAAAACTTTATTTAACCACGCTTCCCTCATCACCCATGGATGATTTTCATGAGGGGCGTCACACAAATTACATTCTAAAAACTAATATAAATAATTAAATATGAAATAGAATAACATAGAATTACAAAAACGTAGATAAAAAAGTTTAAAAAACCAAGACTATTCGATGCCTGACTCTGTAGCACACATTATTTTATCAAATTTTTGAAGCTACTTAAAGATTCTGTTTGCTTTGCCTGCGTAGGTAAACTATTCCATAGAACAGCCCCGCTATATCCAAAACTCTTTTTTTAAATATTGAGTACTTGGTTTAGGAACTGAAAGATTTATATCAGCATTTCTGAGATTATAATTAGTACTAAGATTTATGTCCCTTGTTACAAATTTATCCTTTAAGTTCGGAGCTGAGTGGTTGTTTAATATTTTAAACATCAAGACCGATTTATTCATTTTATGTCTGTCGTTCAGATTTTTCCATGACATAGCATGGAGCAAATCTGTCGACCTGACATTATAATTGGCACCTGTCATAATTCTTGCCGCCCTATTTTGTAGTTTTTGTAATTTCTCTCTGAGCACGAGAGAATTATATCAATTTTGTAGTGTTTCGGACGGTACAAACGGCTTTACTCCTTTGATGATTCCAATACCGGAGCCAACTTTCCTACACATTGTGTCTATATGGTTTTCCCAGCTCATCCTTTCATCTAGTTCTACTCCCAGACATGGAAAAGAGGAATATCGAGTAACCGGTTTATCATTTATCATAACCTGTTCGTTACCAACTTTGTTTTTTAAGTTATAGGGTGATCCTATAAACATTGCTTTTGTCTTTTTTGTGTGAAGTTGCAATTTATTTCGAGAGAGCCATTTGACTATATTTTCTATATCCTGATTAAGTTTGGTTACTAGTTCGGAGAAACTTGCGGAAGATGCATATATTTGAGTATCGTCAGCATACATGCCAGGAGTTGTGTTTTTCAGACTTTCTGGCAAATCATTTATATATAGTAAAAACATGAGGGGTCCCAAGATAGATCCCTGTGGAACTCCGCATACAATTTCCTTAGCCAACGATGTGTGGCCATCGACAACACAAACTTGGCTTCGTTTCGTCAAATAGGATTGGAACCATTTTAGCTCAAAATCTTGAACACCAAACTGGTCTTGTATCTTCCTTAATATAATAGGATTTTATGATCAATAGAGTCAAAGGCTTTCCTAATATCAACTGAAATTAATCCGGTTATTTCTCCATTATCCATATTTTGAAACCAATTGTCACTCATTTCTATTAATAAGGACAGTGTCGAATGTTTGGGCCGGAAGCCCGATTGAAAACGTGAAAGTAGAGAATTGTCTATCAGATATTGATAGAGCTGTCCAAATACTTCTTTCTCAAATAATTTGCTGATAATGGGAAGAATAGATATCGGGCGATAGTTTTCACATTTCGTTCTATCTTCTGTTTTATAAACAGGTATTACCCTAGCTCTTTTCCAATCATCAACATATATCCCAGTAGAGATTGAGAGATTAAATATATAGGTCAAGGATGGATGTTACAATAGTCTCCAGTCTCTTCATCGAAAACTACGGACAGATCAGGCGCTGTTAAACGAGTACAGTAGGATAATTCGCGAGCAACTCGAAGGCGGTATTATTGAACGAGTACCTGATCCGAAGGAAACGAACGAAAGTGGTAAACGAGTGAACTATTTACCGCATCACCCCGTAATTCGAAGTGACAAAGACACCACGAAAGTTCGCGTTGTTTACGACGGATCAGCGAAGGTCTCGAAAGACAAGGAATCATTAAACGACTGCCTCGAGATTGGACCGAATTATACACCACATGTTTTCGACACTTTAATCAAATTTCGATGGAGTTCAATTGGGGTAACCGCTGATATCGAGAAGGCGTTCCTCATGATTGGTATCAAGAAGTCTGACAGAGGTGCGTTACGGTTTTTGTGGTTTGACGATCCGAACGAGTGCCATCCCGAATTGACGGTCTATCTATTTAAACGATTGGTATTTGGCCTGAGACCATCCCCGGCCATCCTCGGATTCACTATATCCCATCACTTAGAAGGATATTCACAATCCGATTCAAAGCTAGTGTCGCTGTTGAAGGAATCATTTTATGTCGACGATCTCGTGACGGGCGACGAAAGCGTCGATGAGTCTTTTCACATTTACAAACGGTCGAAGCAAATAATGGCAGAAGGGGGTTTCAACTTACGCAAATGGAACTCCAATTCGCAAGCACTTATGAATCAAATCGAGACGCACGAACTTGCCAAAGGGGGAGATGAACGATCTAAAATTGACAAGGCGACTCAAGATCAACGAGGGGTTTCTTCCCATACTTCAGAAGAAGATGAGCCGTACGCGAAATTGACGACTGGGCACAATGCAATCGACCCCTCCGATGGTGGCGTGAAGGTTCTCGGATCCAACTGGGACACAAAGGCCGACGAATTGTTTTTCAACTTCGACAAATGGAAGGAAGACGCCTCCTCCATTCCCGCGACAAAACGGTCGTTACTCGGGCTTACGGCCAAGATATTTGATCCGTTGGGTTTCCTTGCCCCCCTTACCATTTCGATGAAAATCGTTTTCCAGATTTTATGCACGAACAAAGTCGATTGGGACGAAACCCTCACTGGCGACTTGCTCTCGAAGTTCCAGACTGTCATTCGAGAAATACCATATCTTCACTCAGTACGTGTGCCAAGATGTTATTTCGATGTGACATGTAAACCCACTGAAGTCGAGCTTCATGGCTTCAGTGATGCATCTTCACAAGCGTATGCGGCCGTGGTTTACTTCAGATCAGTCTACAAAAATGGTGGTGTACGAGTCAATTTGGTGGCCAGCAAGTCAAGGGTTGCTCCGTTAAAGAGACAAACCATTCCTCGCCTCGAACTTCTTGCAGCCGTGCTATTTGCCAGACTTTGCGAGAAAATCACGAGAACAGTTGGGGAGCTATCCACTACCTATTGGGTCGATTCCATGACGACCCTTTGCTGGATCCGAAACGAAAAACAGTGGAAACAGTATGTCCAGCACCGGGTAAACGAAGTTCGCAAGTTGAGTTCTAACTCCGATTGGCGCTACTGTCCAGGCCTACAAAATCCCGCAGATCTACCATCCCGAGGGCTCAGTGCGAAGGATCTCGCGACAAATAATGTTTGGTGGAATGGTCCAGACTTTCTACAAAAATCACCAAGCGAATGGCCATCGGAGGACCCGTCTGTCGAAAACAACGAAGCTGCCAACCAGGAGTCCGTGAAATCCGGATCCCCTCCTTGTGTAACGCATATTATGATCAACAAAGAAAGGAAACCTGTTGAAGCGAGAGTTGACGAAGTGATGCAGATCGAACGGTTTGGCTGCCTACAAAAATTGTTACGAGTTACTGCGAAGGTATTGCGTTTCATCAGGATCGTAAGGTCCAAGGTTTCACGAACAGTGAAAGAAGTGACAGTGAACGATGATGTCGATGATTTCAAGGCTGCCGAGGTGTTGTGGGTGCAGGCAACTCAACCATGCCGTTTTCCCGAAGAAGTCAAATTGCTATCCGAGTTTGGCAACGAACGTGCAAACTAATTTGAAGTCCAAAGTCAAGCAGTTTGGTCTATATTTCGATGGCGAAGGCGTGATGCGATCTCGTGGAAGAGTTAATGCTTCCTCGCTTCCACCAAATAGCAAAAATCCGATTTTTCTGCCAAGCAAACACCAGTTTGTTGAATTGTTAACCCGCCGTACCCACAATCAAATAATGCACAGTGGTGTTCGGGACACCTTGACCACATTAAGAGAGCGATTCTGGATCTTGCGCGGGCGAGAAACTATCAAGAAGATCATCAGACATTGCGTTGTCTGTCGTAAGTGCGAAGGTGGCCACTTTAAGTCACAACCAACTCCAGACCTGCCTGCGATCAGAGTTTCCGACGACCCTCCATTCACTCATGTTGGCTTGGACTTCGCCGGACCGTTATTTATTCGATCCAAGCCAAATGAATCACCCACAATACAGAATGACATTGGGCTGTCCACCTTGAACTTACTCGAGGAGTTAGCGTGCAAGCATTTCTACTTGCGTTTAGACGGTTTTCTAGTCGACGAGGATTGCCAGCCACAATTACATCCGACAACGCTAAAGCTTTCAAGTCGTCCAGTAAGGACATTGGGAAAATAATTCGATCACAAGAAGTATGTAGGTAACTGGTTGATAAACGCGTGAAGTGGCAGTTTATTGTCGAACGCGCCCCCTGGTGGGGCGGCTTCTGGGAACGGTTAGTGCGCAGTGTCAAGCGGCCTTTGAAACGTGTCGTTCGTCGCTCAACTCTAACGTACGACGAGTTACACACGATCTTAGTCGAAATCGAAGCAATTGTCAATGCGAGGCCTCTGACGTATGTCTACGACGATGAAGAGTCAAACTACGAACTCTTGACTCCTTCGAATCTCATTTGGTGTACCCCAGGGTGTACCCCAAGGGTCTATATTGGGGCCACTATTCTTCTTACTCTATATTAATGATCTACCTGCATGTCTGAGTAAAACAAAACCACGGCTGTTTGCTGATGATACAAATATCACAGCAGCTGGAGAATGCTTAAGTGATCTTGAAGATGCAGTAAACTCAGATTTAGAAATGCTTCGTAAATGGCTCATAGCAAACAAACTGAGCTTGAATGTGGCGAAAACTGAATTTCAAATTATTGGTACTAAACAGATGCTGAAAAAAGCTTCTGTTCAACAACTTAAAATTCACATTCAAAACATACCCATAAAGCAGGTTTTTCAATGTAAAACACTAGGTGTGACTATTGATGAAAATTTGTGTTGGAAGAGCAATACAGATAATATATGTAAAAAGATATCATCTGGAATATACGCTCTTAAAAGCATTAAAGAATATGTTGATCAAAAAACACTCGTTTCCGTATACAATGCTATAATTCAACCATACTTTAGCTACTGTTGTGAAGTTTGGATTATATTTGGTGAAACGCAATCCACGCGTCTCCAAAAACTTCATAACAGAGCTGCTCGTGTAATAGCATGTGTGCCTAATGAGGTAGATTAACAAACTGTGCTAAATATATTAGGATGGGAACCACTCAAGGAACAAAGAGTGAAAGCAAAGGCAAAAATAATGTTTAAAACGCTAAATAACATGGGGCCAAATTGTCTCAAAGAATTATTTACTTTCAAAAAAAGAAATATTAAACCGCAGTCTTCGTAACAGCTCAAGTACCATACGTTTGCCCAAGCCAAACACAAACAATATGAAAAAGAGTTTCATGTATGATGGAGCTTCCATATGGAACTCTCTTCCAAAAAATATAAGAGAAAGTAATTCGCTCTCAAGTTTTAAAAGAAAAATCGCTACCTATAGCTTATAAAGAAAACCACATCATTGTAAATAGCAAACTTTTTGTATATATTTTAATAATTTTATATTCTGCATGTTAATACTTCCTTATTATTTTACTTGTAACAATTTGTTAATGTTTTTTACACGCCCATTGTGGAAACCAGCTTCTGCTGACAATGTTAGCGTGGTTAAATAAAGTTTATCATCATCATCAGCCATGGGTGAGGTATTGGGACGAGAATAGTACATTATTAATGGAAGTACGTTGTTTGCGTGACGTAAGATACGAAGTAATCAACTGCAGGCCTACGCCTTCCAAACCGTAAATATGCAGTTTATCAATTAGTACCTGGTGGTCCACGAGATCAAAAGCTTTCCTAAAGTCAGCGAACACCATTCCGTTAATGAAATTCTTATCCAAATTACTCACTAACCTGTCGTAAATGTTTACGAGGGCAGTTTCCGTTGAGGGCTGCCGCCTAAAGCCAGATTGTTGATTGTTGATATGTTGATATCACCAAATAAACAGCTTATGCACACATTTCTATACTTCGTCGTAAGTTTACAGAGCAGATTTATACCTTGGCACTGGTCTTTGTCTTTGATATGAACATTTATTTCTAGTTTAAGGTTATTTAAGATTCATCCTGTCGTAAGTCTTCTATTAGCAACCAATCGACAATATTTCACTTTAGCGTTGTCTTTGCCGTTACGTTGGCCTCGCATTACTTTTGTTTTAAATACCTTGATCGCGTTAAATTAGTTATTTTTCAGGCCAGTGATATAGCCTTGTGATTTTGCAGATATATCGCTAGGACTGAGGATTTTAGAAGGCGTTATCTGTACCTTGCCAAAGTTGTAGACAAGATATGTTGTTTACGTGCAACACGCATAAGATTACACAACTCAAAATAATTCGGGCAAAATCCGTCTTTTGTTAAAAGGAAGACTAGTTAATAGAAATTGGTCGTTTTGAGTGATATAATCGTGTTGCGTCATCGATCCGTGTCGTTGAACAATGAAAAAATTTGTTGTGAAATTAGCGACTTAGATAAAATAGCATTTTGTGAGAAAACTGCGGGTTTACGGAGTTGGAAGTTTTCCGATTCGAACTCTGCGTGCTTGAAAGTGTTAGTTCCCGTAAAAATATTTCAGTTCCAAGACATGCTTAATGAAAGTTAACGATATCAGGACGAAGCAAACGGCCTACTATTCGTGTGAGAATCTTTTAAGATTTTGAAATAAGAAAAGTTTCCTTATTTTGACATAATAGCTATTTTTCAATAAATATATTGGTATTAAACTTATTGAATCAATATTTTAAATTTCAGGCCAGTTGTACCAAAATTTATAATCGCTTGCGCATCATAAAGGCGGATTTCCATTTCTTGCAAAATGAAATCGCATTTTGCGATCACTTTCTTTTAAATACAAGCAATCAAACACAACGGATTAGGTTGACTGAACGTATTTCAAAAGAAAGTGATCACAAAAAGTTGATCGCGCGATATTTTGCACTGAATGAGGCATGCAACATGTACGCACTGCGTACCTATTTTTTACGGTATTTCACTCAAATTCATAATTTCGCACCGTGGATAGATACTCCGTGGGATATTATAGTATCCCACGCTCACGCGCGACGCGTGGACACCACGCTCTAAAAAAATATGGCGTTCGCGAGCTGTTGTTTGTGATTTCGTATTTTCGTACAGAATATTTGACTTAGCAAAACATTTTCAAGACGTACTGTATGTTACCTTTAATGAAACAAAGGATACATGCTCAAATATTTTAAAGAGGAAACGTTAAACACTCAGGTATACATAAGAAGTTAAAAATTGTATTAATATATTGGCGTATTTTATAATATTCAGCAAGTTTTATATAAGTTTATTCTGAACTTAGTGAGTACTTTAACTTTCGGTATAATATATCATTTATAAACCTTCCGCTCGGGGGGATTCGGCGATATTTCCCTCAGTGGTGATATTTTCCCCGGGGCAAAGCCCCTCGGAGAATATCATCACTTAGGGAAATATTACGCCGAATCCCCCTCGCTCCGGGTCTATAAATGATAAATATTCCTCTTTGTAGTAAATTGTATACTATTTTAAGTTTGTTCAGGCAAAATCCGTATCACAATTCAGCCTGAAAGTTTTTGCTTTAGAATTCAAAGCGAAATAAATTGTTTTAGAACAGTAGGCTACTAATTTTGTTTTCGCTGCTCGTATATATGAGCTGAGCTAATATGCGGTGAAAAGCTCAACGAGTACTGGATCATACATGGTGGATGAAGTAATCATATAGCTGGAACTTACAGTGTTTTAAAGTAAAAATTACTTACCAGCTTGTTTGGTTTGCAAAGGAAAGTCTTCCCCAAAACACTCTTCCAGACCAATGGCTTTTACTGTATACATATAACGATGATATGGAATCAGGTTTGTTATGAACAGAGACGTTAGCTCAGTGATGTTAGAATACTGGATGTGTTGTTCTACATCGCTCGTTATAGTTACTGAATATTTCTTGTGTAGAGTCTTAGTTTTGGTGGGAACACGTAGGGGGAGCCAAGATATCAATACGGAATTTGAAGTTATGTTTTTGACCATGATGTTTGGCGGATTGCATCGAGGTATTTCTAAGAAGAATTGTATTGACATTTTAAAGAACGATGCAATTTCTACAGCGCGAACTTGAAGTGAGGAGCGGGGAGGGGGGGTCATGTGTTTCAATTGATCCGGCAAATGGAAGAAAATACTACGAGAATAAAAATAAAAATAATGGATGAAGAGTAAAAGAGGAAATAATTGAAAAAAAAGTATCTTCATTCTCACCCCTTCCGCACAGTTCCACACGCATACAAGGAACACGCTGCCATGTTTTAGGAGTGAATCTCACTTTCTGTGCTTGAATTGCAAAATCTAGATCTCTTCTTATGACATTGTGAGTTTCATCATTAGTATTACCAAATATCAACTGAATGATACGAAAAACAGTGGTTAATACTCTAATCTATTATAACATGACTAACAACTATCTCTCAAATAGAAGATCCAATATTTCACTAAAACGTTGCGGAAAAATTTTATAGGAAATATTTTTGAGGAGACATTATATCCTTCCATGTTTCTCGAAAGTAGGCAAACCGTGTTTTCTAGTTCTTTTTCCCGTAATTTTTGTTTCCCAAAGGTGGGAAAACCCCAAAACGTTGTTTCTTTACTATGTTTTTCGAATGTGGTAAACTCAACCTCGTTCCCAGGGCTTTTCCCTTTTTGTCACTGGAGGGAAGGCGGGAAAAGGCCCTGGCACCGGCCGGGCTTCTATGTATTCTGATTGGTCAATGACAAGTATATTATTATGCAAATAATGCAATCTCGCATTAATTAATTCAAACTTTGGGATAAATTAACATTTTCACGCAAGGAGTGTCCATTATTATTATACTTTGTCCGTTTAAGAAATATTTTTGGCGAAATCTGTGGCAAAATGGTTAAATTCGATAAGATTTATACACAATTTATCGAAGGTTAGTATTATTGTTAGTTTTAAACTGTGAGAGAACAGAGAAGATTAATTGTGTACTAGAACACACCTCTGAGGCTCTGGCCGAGTATTTAGATTTAGGGCAAAATGTGCCTTCATTGGCTTCGTATAGCGTTAATTTTATATTTATAAAACTAAAGTTTGGGTTTATAAACTGAAACATGACCTTTAGTTTTTGATATTCTTCATAGTCGAGTTTAAATTGGCCTAATTTATAGTTAGTTACCACTAGAAATGCGACGATATTTTGTTATATCGTATATGCAACAGTGTTTACAACTTTTGAATAATATGTGATTTGGTTTTGTTTCAGATACTATTACATGTTGCTTCATTTTACCATAAGTTGTGTTAAAAAAGTGATTTGCTTATTTGGCTGATGTTACAGTTTTCTGATGTGTTTTGTTTGGATGATATTAGAACAATTTCAATATGAAAGTGCAGGTGTCTTTAGACATGACCCATAATGTATATATCAAAATAGTGATAAAATCCGTTACCAGCTTGATTATATTTGCATTGTTGCAGACAAAGTTGTGCAATGGTGGGCTTATGTCACATACTCGTATGTAATTCCATGTGCCTGCATGTACTTTGAGTCTCAAGAGATGCTTCAAATGTGTAATAAAGGGTTGTTCGCAGGAGTTGGGCTGTCTGGCCTTAAATTGCATTGTTTTTATGATATTTTAAGATTGTATTCATATGGCTGGACCATCTTGCCATTGCCACAATATCTAATGTTCAAACAGGCTTTAAAATCAGGTTACAATGCATGCTTGAAAATTTGCAAGACTTTCACTGCTAATAATATTCCAGAAAATCCTGCCTCTTGGGCAGATCTGGAATGATTTGTCAGAGGAGGTTAGAGCTTGCCTACTTGTGATCAGGCAAGGGGAGCTAGCCAAGGGTGCTGGGTCAGAGTAAAACTTATGTGAACAGCTTCAAAGTCCTAATTATATTGATTAATTATGTACACTTTGGGATTGTAATGCAATTTGTAAAATATTCCACATTTTATTTAATAAAATTTAATTATATACATTGTTTTTGTTGTTTATATTTACACCTTGGACAGTGTATATTTACACCTTTGGACCCTGTAAATAAACACCTTTGGAAGGTGTACCTATTCTAAGCCAAAGACGTTTAAGAACAATTATCAAGGTATTTGCATGATAAAATATATTTAAAATTGCTTTCGATATACACGTAATGCATGGTTCAATTCTTGCTTTTAGGCTACCAAGTAAACCCATGGATTTTCAATGTCCCCCTCCTCCCGTAGAATTCACTTGAAGTGACTGGAGGAAGGTAGCTACATATAAGTATAAGTAGGTATATAAAAGTCAGTTAACATTTACAAATAGAACTTTTTGAATATAGACCATTGCAAATTTTTTTTAATTGGTTTAACCCTTTATAGTGGCAATGTGCCCTACTTTAGTTTATTACTCAGTCTGGTGTAAGACAATTTTACTCAAGGGCAGAATGTAGACTTGCCACAAGTGGACCTCGAACGAAACGTCAGCTCACACTCGCTGCTTGCGTTTCGTTCCAGATCGACTTGTGGCAAGTCTAGGCAGAATGCTGCCACTAAATGAGTTGATATATTCTCAGAACAGTTACCATCAAATTAAATATATTTTTCTGGCAAAATTGCCTTGGATGGGGTCCTTGATTTGTTGAGTTTTTTTTTTTTGGGGGGGGGGGGGGGGGGGGGTGAGTGTTGTAAGGATAGCAACTGGTTTCAGAATCGGAAGAATTGTGGTAATATAGGTAATATAATTCTAAGACAAATCATCCAAAGGAAGCAATCATTCTAGCTCTCTTAGTGTATGTAGCAACAGGGATGGATTTACTGGAGTGTGTGCACCCTCCTAGCCCTGGCCAGAGGGGGTGCAGGGGGGTGCTATTTTTCATGATAAAGCAAAACATTAGTACAGGCAAAATGAAATACAGTAGTTTGAGTAATAACATCACGATAAGCGAGCTGTGAACAACTGTTACAATTCAAATACAGTAGTAAAGCAAGACTTTGCAGTAGTGAAGCAAGTTGATGGGCGGGTGGCACACATGACCGACACAACTCGGCACTAGAGCTCGCAGAGCACCCCCCCCCCCCCCCCCCCCCACCAGATAATGCTAGACCCATCCCAGTGTTGCAAAATGTATTTTCTTCATAGTCAGGCATTCACATGAATGAAGATTAGAATCATGTTATATAGTCTTAAATATTTAGGAGGGGTCTCCATTATTAAATGAAGAGATTAAAAAGGGGTCCCATGACATTTTGACATAAGAATCTCCAAACCCACCTTAGGGTATAATGAATGGTCACTTAAAGTACATGTCATCTTCTAACTGGTTGGGCACCTTGTCCCTTTTGTTATTGAAAATCTATTCCCTATCTTTATCCCCTGGGACAAAAAAATTCAAATCAACTTTCCACCCTGATAATGTGCAGATGGTAACAGCAAGAATTGAAGCAAGCAAGCTTCACTGGAGTACATACTATTATTAGGAAGCATGAATTCACACATGATAATTTGCTAGTCATATATGATTTTAAACGTAATATTTCTTATCTCATATAGAATTCTTAAGGTCTTGTTTACATAATTTTACTGGAAGCAAACTGAGATGCATATACAATATTTGGGTCATATCACTCATATGTCAGTTTTGCAACTTGCCAGCTTCAACATTTGGCTGCAAGGAAAACGTAAACAACGAAAGAGCATATTACACTTCATCTGTGTTTAAAATATCAATGAATAAATATTCCAACCATTGGCACTTTATAATATAAGTGACATTCAACAATAGATAATAACATATACAGTATATGCAAAAACATTTCTTTGAATGACTGTATAAAATATTCCTCATAAACTCACTCCAATTGTCGCACAGCAGAGTCTTTGGAAGGGTAACACCAAGTTTAACATCCCCAGTTCGGAACACTTTCCGTGTCCTCTTAAGCAAGCCTGTCCAGCTGGAGAACATCTGTAGTAATACTATTATATTTTGGCTGTTAATTTTGTCTAGCGAACGAACGATATTTACCAAACCCAGTTGGAAGAACAGCAACTGCATAGTTCCCATGTAATAAAAGCTGAAGAATCTGATTTCGAGTACGTCGGTAGCAAAAAGAAGGAAAAATTTCAAAGACTAAACGCATTTTTAAGCCGCTCTAAGCACTTAAATTTTATGGACACTCTTTGGTTGGCGGCCATCTTGGATTTTCTAATTCATTATCATTATAATTTATCACACCCACTATATCTGGGTGTTGAAAGTCGTGTGACCGACCGGTGTCAGGGCCTTTTCCCGCCTTCCCAATGACAAAAAGGGAAAAGCCCTGGGAACGAGGTTGGTGGTAAACTAGGATTCAGTTGCCGCCGTTATAGCTGTCCCATCGAAGGTGAGCAAACCAAGAAATATTGCTTCAGAAACAAAAAATACACTTGGGAAGAGACCATGTTATCGAATTTGCTAGGAGCCAATTTTGCTTGCTGGAAAGAAATTTTATTTCCGCAGCGAAGGTGCTAAGGCCAGGCAATTTTCAAATGCTTCTGATAAAATATTTCCTGGTTTGCCCATAATCTACTCAGGGCTTAATAACACTTGTGCATCACATTAAATATACGTTTTCCGGGATAAACAAATTCCATGACATGTCCTAACCTTTTGTGTCCCTACAGTAGCATACTTCCACGAATATCCGCTGACCATGTAAGACAGTATATATGACGACACGTAGCCCATATCCCCGCCAACGGTAGCAACTGCCGATAGGGAGAAAATTCCAGGGAGACTAATCTCAAGGAATTGGTTTTCGTAGGGATGGTTTTCGGGTAAACACCAAGGTTGAGGGCTGTACAATCGCGCGGAACTGGGGCCGAAGTCTGGAAATTGCGCGGCACTTGCGTTGAAGACAGAGTCTGGGAACGACGCAGTATCTTCGAGAAGGCCATTGGAACAAATGGAACCTAAAAACAATTTAGGATTTTGTTTCGCTTTCGGTAATTACCCTTGACCCGGAAACCTCAATTTCACATACCGTGAGCGAATGGCCTTTTGTATTAATTCATAACAGCATAGAAAATCCAGAAGACATGTCTTCTGGATTGTCTATGGTAACAGCAAAGCAGTCGTGATGTATTCATCTTATCAAATCATGAATAATTCTTGCAAAAAATGCAAGGAAATCAACACCATATTGTTGTTTTGATTTGACAGTGATAAACATGTTTCTTTAAATGCTGGTTTGTTCGAGAAGATATATAATAAACTCGAAGTCGTTTACTGTTTCCATTTTGAACCAACTCCAACTCTCAGAGTATCGTGGAAAACTCTGTTAACGCATCGCTGTTGAGCACAGTTTTCGAGTTTGAAGTCATTTTAATAAACTCATGCTCGTGTACAGTGGCGTAGCCAGCCCGACAATTTGGTCCCGCTATTCAAATTTCAACTCATTATCATTATTCCTTTCCTCAGAAATTGATTGTGTTCATAGTTTATAAACATGGCAATATTTGCACAGCAGGGTTGAATCGTCGGACTGGCTACGCCACTGCTCGTGTATGATATATATCATTTATTAGTATGCAAATAGCTTTATGCTACTTCAATTCAGTTGATAATTTTCCCTCTTCAAGTCACTTACATTTAACGTATCTGTCATAATAATGACCACAACCAGTATATTTCCAGTTATTATGTGGACAAAATACCAAGGATTTCTCATCACCCCAACATTTCACATCTTTTAACCAAATCTTTCCACTGACTAGCGGACTCTCCCAACGACCATGTTGTACCGCATCGTTAAAACCAAGTTCCCAGCATGCCACTTGGGCACTTGTCGCGAAGGATTCGCCGTTATAAGTACACACTGTCCCCCAGGTCCCTTGGTGAAAGATTTCAACACGACCTTTAAGAGGAATATCGGATCCACGAAGACGAATGTATGATTGGCCTAGATAAAAATAAAAAGTGTGTCAACATAGTCGGTTTCACAATGTTCAAAGGTATACGTGGGTTTTACCAAGCACAATCGCGCAACAGATGGTAGTCAACCAGCAGTTATCAGATCAAGAAAATGATGTTAATTCGTTATATTGTTTAGAGTAGTCTTGTATCTGAAGGAAAATAAATAGAATTAGGAGATTCAGCTTGATTTTTTTATCAGCCAGCCTTATTGGAACCCTTCTATAATTTACTATAAAATGAACAAAACGTTGAGATACATACACGTAACACTAATAGCATTCTCCTTCTCACACGTTATTTCGCTACCAATTGCCTGAGAACAGAGTTGCAAGGAACCTTCGGTCCCAGAGCAGTTGTATCTTCTCTCCAACGTCCTTACTCCAGATAAACTCCCGATGTTTCCAAAATAAGAACTATTCCACTGTTCAACATTAACTCCAGGGTACCCAAGTTGTATACAGGAGACATTCGCATCTTTACTGGACCACATGGGATTACAGAATGTAGTACCATCATGAAGCAAGTGTCCTTGGTAGGGAAGATTTGAACCGATCAATTGAAGTTCAGTGAGACTTTGGTTGCCTGAAAAAGAATGTTGATGTTTTAGTCAATTGTTACTAACCGACGATCAACCAACTGACTACCTATCTGACCCGGCCGGCAGCAGACCTGAAAAATAAGGTAGAATCGCGGAATCTGAACAACATTTGCCCTAGCGTCTTGTTTGAGAAACTTTGAATTTTTCACGCATATGTTATGGGAGAATCTTAACGAATATTTTATGCTCATTTTACGATTTTTAATTCAATTTGTCTTTTATTTAATCTTGTATGTAATTAGCTTTTCCACCTCAGCAATTATCATCATTTTAGCTGACGAAGGTCATGACCGAAACGATCTTTTAGAATTCATATAGACAGGGAGAACAATATTTTTAATGTATCAAATTTTGTAATCACTGACTACTCCTGATCTACACTTATCAGATAATTAGATCATTAGATCATAAATTACTTTCACGAGCGCAATTTTTCGGGCAGGAAACATATTCCTATATGATAAATATAAGAGGCCAGCATAAGATTTTAATAAACAGAGTGATACACCCAAATATATACAAAAGTTTTAGTGACAGTGACATTTTTTGAGAAAAAATTTCATTTTAAAAAGTAAAAGATGTTGTTAGAAAGGCGTATGTTTGTATAGGTAATTTTCATATTTCGTTGGTTATAAAAACTTTTGGCAAAGTGCTCAATGGAAAACCAGAGCATATTTAAATTAAGGTACAACAAATCAACGAAATGCAACAGGCATCTTTATTACTAAATTGTTTCGTACCACAAGATGTAGCACCCTTCAGATAAATTGATATAATGACTATAGACTAAAATTTACAAGGTTTACATATATATATATATATATATATATATATATATATATATATATATATATATATATATATATATATATATATATATATATATATATATATATAACCTTGTAAATTTTAGTCTATAGTCATTATGTCAATTTACCTGAAGGGTGCTACATCTTGTGGTACGAAACAATTTAGTAATAAAGATGCCTATTGCATTTTGTTGATAGATAGATAGATAGATACTTTATTGCGTGTTCCCCTAAGGGCTTTTCAACACTACATTACATATTAAAATTACTATAAATTACTTCTAAAACTACCTATGTTACATATACTTATTTAAAATTAGTTAAAATATGTACGAAGAGTATGAAATATTAAATGTATTTAATAGGATTCTTTTAGTAAAATCTCCCTAAGTTTTTTCTTAAAAATTGTTATTGATGTAATATTTTTTTAGTTTATCATCCAAGTCATTCCATATTTTAACACCCCGGTAATTAAATGTTCTTTGACCTGCAGCAGATTTATACAGAGGGATGTCCAAGAGGTCATGATTTCTTGTCGATCGATCATGTATGTCGGAACGCTTTATAAATTTATCTACTAGGTAGTCAGGTGCAAGTCCATTAAAACACTTGTAAGCCATTACAGTATCCCTTTCCAATAATAACTTTTCCACTGGCAACCAATTTAGTTCGCGCAACGCCGGAGTTATGTGATCGAACTTTCCTACCCCTGATATAACTCTGCACGCGAAGTTCTGTACTGATTGAAGTTTATTGACATTGTTAGATGACGTGTTGGACCACACCGTAGAGCAGTACAGAAGCTTGTTAATTACAAGTGTCTCAATGACCAATTTTAATGTTTCATTATCGAAACTATCCTTCACGCGATTTATTTGACATAGTTTTCTCATACACGACGAAACGAGTTTAGATATGTGGTCGTCGTAGGATAGGTACGAATCCAAATTGATTCCCAAATCTTTAGCTAATAAAACAGGTCTTATAGTCTTTCCTAAAAATGTTAGCGATATCTCTGTAGGTACATTCTGCAGCATGTGTCTTGAACCGACTACAAGGAATTTAGTTTTTTCTGGATTGATCAGTAATTGGAGCTCCAAACACCACTTGGCTGCTATTTGTAGATCTGCCTCTAAATTGATAGTTGTCTGTTCCAAGTCGTAGATGCAGAATGATTTGTAAAGCTTTGAGTCGTCTACGTATGAATCAAGGTTACACGATTGTATGCTCCCTGGCAGATCATTAATATAGATGCAAAACAGAAGTGGTGATAGTATTGCACATTGTGGAACGCCATGGGTTATTGGGCGAGCTGATGACTTAGTGGATCCAATGCGCACGTATTGGTATCTGCCTGTTAAATAGTCTTGGAACCATTTAACAGCTTCGGGTGAAGCACCGATACAACTCAATTTGTGTAATAAAATCGAATGACTGACAGTGTCAAATGCCTTGGATAAATCCAATAAAATTAGTGCCGTTAGATTTTTGTTGTCTATGGCTTCCAACATCGTATCGGTAACAAATATGTTTAAGGTTTCGGTGGAGTGAAGACTCCTATTCCCGCTTTGATGTGACGATATGCGATTAAATTCTTTGAGGTAGGAGCTAAATTGATTTAGAACAACTTTTCACAAACTTTTGAAACTACCTCGAGTAGTGAGAGAGGCCGATTGTTTGATCTCGTGGTCTCCTTCTTTTAGTAGGGGTATAACTTCAGAAATCTTTCAGAGGTCAGGGAATGTGCTTGTCATTAGAGAGCAATTTATCATATGCGTAAGAGGACCCAGTATGATTGGAAGACAGTCTTTGATGACACGCATGCCTATTTTATCTGGTCCTGGTGACTTATTACTTGGCATAGCCATGATAATGCGTTTAACCTCTGTACAAGTAACGGATTGGAAATTGAACAGTTGATCAGATGGATAAGTGATTACATTTGACAGAGGATTTGACAGTGCAACATTGTTGTCTTTGGCTAAACTTTCGGCTGTCGCAGCAGCGTTCCGTCCCACAGAAGTAAAAAAAAGGTTGAAGTCTTCTGCAACTGTTTTTGGATCTTTGCTATAAACTTGTGTTTCCTTTTCCTTCGAAGGAATTATATTATTAATTATTTTCCATAGGGATCTCGAATTGTGTTTATGTTCTCTTACTTCGTTGAAGGTGTGGTCCTTCGCTGCGGCTTTAATTTCGGTTTTTACGTTATTACGATATTCTTTGTAAACTACCCAATCACCTTCCTCATGACGTGTCAGTTGAAACCGACGGAGGTGTAGGTCCCGAGACTTCATGAGTTCTTTTATTTCATTGGTGACATATGGACATGATCGATTTCGAATTTTGAAGGTTTTTAACGGTGCATGCACGTCGAGAGTTGAGTGAAGAACATCTTTGAAGGTTTCGAGTATTGTATTAACGTTGGTGTTGGATAATATGGATAACAGACGATCCGATTTAGTGACAAGGTCAGAGGAAAATAGTGAGGGATTATAGTTTTTATAACTCCTAGTTGTACTGTAACATGCTGGCATCTTTGGGGCCTTTAACTTTAGTAGGACGTACACTGGTAAGTGGTCACTGATAGAAGTGTTAATAACACCATTCTCAAGAACAAGTGCTGTGGATGAGACTAGAATAACATCAATAAGCGTTTGGGACGTCGCCGTGATTCTAGTTGGAGTTTTAATAATCTGTGTGAGATTTAATTCTGTAGAAAAATTTGTTAGCGCTCTCCGCTCTTGGCCGTTTTCTAGCATGTTACAACTTAAGTCACCGAGCACTAAAATCTGTTTATTCAAAGTTAAAGCCTGAACATAATTTGACTTAAGTAAATCTTCGAAACAATTTAGAGAAGTGTCAGGTGGTCGGTAGGTTACACAAATTATTATTGATTTGTTTTTTTGGCATTGTAGATTTATCCATAGTTGATGGAAGTTAGAGACTGACACCTTCGATAAATCTTTTAAGACAGTTGCTTTAATATTCTTCTTGATATAAGCACAGACACCTCCACCTTTCTTGTGTAACCGGTCAAGTCTGTGGATCTTATAATCGTCGATTGCAATCTCACGGTTCGTTACTGAGGAATTTAACCACGATTCGGAAATGGTGAGGACATCGATATTATTTAACTTTACTAGTTCCTTGACCTCAGTAAGGTGAACGATATTTCTTAACGAGCGAATGTTTAAGTGAACAATGTTGAGACTAGAGGGAACTGATATCTGATCGTTTGGGGTTAATGGGGTACTACACGCATTTCTGCTAGTGTGGTTCTCACTAGCCTGTAGTGGGATTAAATTATTATACGCATGGACTGTTTTTCTGTTTCTCAAATTGGTAACAAAGAGAGATGGAACAGCGCAGTAGTCTCGGTGATTTTCCAGGTTACTAGTAGTTACAGGGACATTTACCAGGTTGCATGGATTACTAGTTCGTTTACGTATATTATTGTAACTTGCAATGCGATGACTTATGGTCCGACATTGTGACATAACAATAGGAATTACTTTGTTGTTCGTAGGCGAATTGGAGGCCGAGTCACACGAGGATGTAACGTTTTCCGAACAAATTCGAGGTACCTCTGCCAGTCCCGGGGACGGTGGTTTGAACGACTCTTCCGAAAATTTCTCTTACACGATCGCTGGAAATCGTTAAAAGTCGTAGATTTTCTTAACGATGCAGACTTATATGAAGATTCAATCAAAGGTAGCCGTCCCACCCACTCCGCATGTCTGACAGGCACCCCTGGGTTGCAATTTATTTCACTTTTATCGATTAGCCCAGATATATTGTTGTCGTAATATATCTCTTTCGATAAACGTTTTGTACACTTGATTGACTTGTGACCTTTGACCTTATTTGCGGTGTTTTGTTTTGGCGTTTGTCCGAAAACTAATTCACTGCTTTTTGCCCTGACCTGTTTGGAGGGACCCGGTTTTTCTGATTGCGTTTTTAAAGTTGAATTAACTGTTTTCGCTGGCATGGAATGGGACAATTCTTCGTTCGATTGGTATGTTTCGGGAGATTCGCCATTCGCCAGATTAGTAATAGTATTAATTTCACACCCTGATTCCGCTGCTTCATTACAGTGGGTTGATTTTAATGTAACACTTTGTTGGTCTTCTGTTGGGGTTTTAAGTAATGAACAGTTTTCCTGCAGGGTTTTGTTTAAACTATTATCTGGATCAATACTAATTACATCTTCACACAGTTCGATGATCTCTGTTAAAGGTCGATCGCTATTACCAACCGGGCAATGGACATTGTAGTCATATTGTTTGTCTTGATTGGGTATTGTTTCCATAGCCGAGGAGGTTGTGTCATGTACAATAATTACATGACTTAAATCTTATTTGCATAACAGAACGCAATACTGCAGGGTGAACAGTGCAACATCGTCCACTAGGAAAATACGTTGTGGGGTTCCCCAGGGATCGAACCTTTTCCCCTTTTGTTGCTGCCGTAGCGAGCGAGCGTGAAGCGAGCGAGCGAGGCAGCAGTCCTAATCTTTATGTATATATATATATATATATATATATATATATATATATATATATATATATATATATATATATATATATATAAGGCAGATGAAATCTCGATCGTTTCGGCATATTTCGGCCTACCACAATGCACTGCTTCTGGGCAGGCTATTCTTGCCTAATAAACAGGCATAAGGCAAACAAGCAATGTGATCATCTTTCATCTTTGGTTTTCTTTTATGGAAAGCCATAGCTGGCGTAAGTGATCAAACGGCATTTTGTCGATACGCAGTGTTCGAGCGTTATACGCGATGGTTTCGCTATTATACGCAGTGGTTCGAGCATTATACGTGGTGCTTTCGCCATTATACGCGGTGCGTTCGCCATTATACGCAGTGGTTCGAGCATTATACGCGGTGCTTTCGTCATTATACGGGGTGCTTTTAACATAATTTCCCTATTCTTTCCATGTATATAATCTCACGATTGCTTAATAAATCTGGTAGGCCTATGTGGCTGTGCTTTTTGCCTCTGGTCTGCAATGACAATGACATGCTTTTAAAAAGGTTTATTTATAAAAAAGTGACTGCACTTTGTGAGTTCTTATATATTATCATATAGTGTTGATTTATTAGCCAATAAATCTGTGTATATAACATAGGTATATAAATTAATATAACGCAGCAAATGCGCGCCAAGCAGTATAAACGCGACTGAAATACGATATGAAAATCTCGAATGTGCTGTATGATTTAATTATGTTTTAGGATTTAAAGCATTTAAAAATGCTTTGTCATTTGTATTTGTATTTGTACTTGTACTTGTACTGCATCACAACGCAGTGCGTAAGTGAACAGATTCCACACGTGAGGTTGTCTTGTATATATTTTTGCCTTCTTTGATAAACATTATTAAACACGCAAATTTAGAGAGACGCACACTCGCACATGTTGAATGTCACCTGCATGTCATTGTCATTGCCCTTTAACCCCTGGTCTAAATCATACCGGTGTAGTATAGGGAAGAGGGGTTCTGGCGCAGGCGGAGTCTTTCATTGTCAGGACTATAGTCTTTCATAGTCAGGACTATAGTCTTTCATAGTCAGGACTATAGTCTTTCATAGTTAGGACTATAGTCTTTCATAGTCAGGACTATAGTCTTTCATAGTCAGGACTATAGTCTTTTATAGTCAGGACCATAGTCTTTCATAGTTAGGACTATAGTCTTTCATAGTCAGGACTATAGTCTTTCATAGTCAGGACTATAGTCTTTCATAGTCAGGACTATAGTCTTTCATAGTCAGGACTATAGTCTTTCATAGTCAGGACTATAGTCTTTCATAGTTAGGACTATAGTCTTTCATAGTTAGGACTATAGTCTTTCATAGTCAGGACTATAGTCTTTCATAGTCAGGACTATAGTCTTTCATAGTCAGGACTATTGTCTTTCACAAAGATAGGGATAATAAGATAAAGATAAGAAGATAAGGATAAGGAAGATAAAGATAAGATAAGGAATAATCATTTATAGTCTTCTTCCGGCGACATGTGGGTGTGATGTAGGGTCGATGTAGGGCCGATGCAGGGCTATAAGAGTATAGAAACCATGGCGAATGAACAATTAAGCCAAACGACTCTTATTACAAAAAAAACACATTTAAAATGTTGTGCGTAATTTATATACAATCAAATACATTATTCTCTAAGAAGCAGACCAAATTAATTAACTTTGTAAACGTCTCGAATAAATAAATGTATTTTAAAACTGAATTTTTGTGTAAACTTCTGGCTGCAAAGCGCTCCTGTCCTGTCTAAACTTCTTTCTCTCTTTCAATATAAGCCTCCTTATTGTTGTGTTTCCAACCCGCACGGATAACTCGCGACGCCCGCGCAATGAATATCCTAATCTATCCGTATTTATCCACATTAGAAAATGCAAATCTCTGATAAAAATTAATCCTTTAATTAGTTTCACCCTAACAACACATAGGAACCGGTGTGCTTTAATATAGCTTAAATATATTAACCTTATTCGAGTTTTAGTACTTTAAAAACCTAGCACTAAAATATAGAAATCGCTTGACAATTATATATCATGACCTTTAATTAACTTCCATGTGTTTATATAACTCAAGATAGCAATAAATTTATTTTAAAACTGAAATCTTGTGCAAACTTTTGCCTGCAAAGCCCGCTTTTCCGCCCGCGCAAACCGCCCGCCTGATTAGTGTACAAATATGTTGTACGTTAATATATGCATGCACCCAAGCGTCGCTCATGACTTAGCAACACATAACAACGTATATGACGAATACATGTTTTTATCGCAAAATATATTACAACTGTTCCAATTCTAACTTATATTCTTCATTAGCTTACTTGTGATCTGACTTGGTCATCTTAACAGTATATATGTATGTAGAAGACTTGCTAAATAACGCTGAACAACATGCAAATATTGACCTTAACAACGATGTTGACAACCCGGGATTAGCAACTGTTTAGTTCTGTTTAAAATATGTCTTGATTTTTGTGACGAATAGATTCCTCTCTATAATTTTGTAAACATACGTAAAATCCCTCAAATACTCGTGGAAATTTATCGCTTCCGAGCAAAGATACGGCTATAACTCTGCTATATATATTAATAATATTGACCTTAACAACGACGTTGACAACCCGGGATTAGCAACGCTAATTGCTCGCCTGTCATAGTTGGTCCAGGCTTGCCCGCGTTAATTGGTCGCGCTACCTGTCGCATTCGGCCCAGGCCATGAAATTGTAGATAAACAAACAGCAATGAAGTAATCAGACATCACCAAAAAGTCGTAGATAAACAAACGGTAGCGAAATACCCTGAAATAAACTGAAAACTGCTGTAGGCAGTAGACAAACAAACAGCAAATTATCATAAAATAGAAATGGAGGTGGTGTTGTAATATATGTTCAAGAACATCTCTCCATTTTGGTTAGAAATTACTTAGTTCCAAATAATCTGGAAATGATCTGTATCGAAATTAATCAACCTTTCAACAGGTCATTTCTAGTTAGTACATGGTATAGACCACATAATTCAAGTACGGATGTATTTGATGCATACGATATTTTTCTTCTTAATTGTGATGCTGAAAACAAAGAACTAATCCTATTAGGAGATATAAACTGTGATGTTGCTAAATCCCCACCAGAAGCACATACATTTAGATTTCAATCTATAAATTCATTATATAACATGGCTCAGTTAATAGAAGAACCAACCAGGGTTGCGAGAACATCTGCTACTATAATTGACCTTATTCTGACAAATGTTCCTGAAAAAAATTCTCATGCTGGCGTCTTTCACGTTGGTATATCAGATCATAGCCTAATATATGCAGTTCGCAAATTCAAACCACTTAAACGAAGGCCGACTTTTAAAAAAGGTCGTAATTTTAAACACTTTTCTGAAACAGAATTTATATCCGACCTAACCAATATTCCTTGGCAAACTGTTTTCACAACAAGTGATCCAAACTTGAGTTGGAATAAGTGGAAGGAACTTTTTATCGGAACACTAGATAAACATGCTCCTGTTAGACATATAAGATCAGGGAAACACACCACTCCGTGGATGACAGCGGAAATAAGGTCAGCTATGAGAAGAAGAGACTACCATAAGAAAAAGGCCATAAAATTGAAATCTGATTCACATTGCCATAATTATAAGAGTCTGCGTAATAAAGTTAATAAACTAATCCGTGTGACAAAATCTACTTTCTATATCAACAAAATATCTGAATGTGCAGAAACTAAGGATTTAAAAAAATGCTGGTCTACAATAAATTCCCTGCTAGGGAAACAACATAAATCCAATTGTATTAGTGAGCTCAAAGTTGGTGAAAATGTCATCACAGACCCTAATCTCATTGCGGACCATTTTAATACGCACTTCATCAACATCGGAGTGTACCCTGATAAAAATGATACGCCAAACGAATGTGGAGAAAATCGTTATTTCTCTGACACAAACATCCATTCCCAAACTAATAATAAATTTAATTTTTCTCTCATTAAGGTTGATAGTGTCCTCTGTAATTTGAAACACCTTAAAGCAAATAAATCCACTGGCCTAGATGCCATCCCAGCGAAAATACTAAAACTAGCCGCCCATATTATTGCCCCTTCCTTAACGTATATTTTTAATTTATCTCTTCAAAGCGGAATTTATGTTAACGATTGGAAACGAGCTCGAGTAATTCCTATCTTCAAATCTGAAGATAAAAGTAAATGTGAAAATTATAGACCCATTTCTATTTTGTCAATTGTAAGTAAAGTCTTTGAAAAAGAAGTGTTTAGGCAAGTGTATACGTACGTGAATGAAAGTAATCTTCTCTCAAAGTATCAATCTGGCTTTCGGCCACAACACTCAACCTTATCAGCCCTCATTAAAATATGTGACGAAATCTTAAATAACATGGACGAGGGGGAAATAAACTGTATAGTATTTTTAGACATACGGAAAGCTTTTGATTCAATAAATCACAATATTTTATTAAATAAAATGAGATCCAACTTTGGCATTAGCGGTAATGAATTACTCTGGTTTGAATCATACCTAACGAATAGGGAACAACAATGCGTAGCTAATGGGATACTATCCTCCGTTGGAAAATTAAAATGTGGGGTCCCCCAGGGGTCGATCCTGGGGCCGTTGTTATTTTTGTTCTACATCAATGACCTACCACAATGTCTCCAAAAAACCACGCCGGGTCTTTATGCTGATGACACGGAAATTTACGCGTCATCACACAATGTAAATGATCTTATTGACAACATAAATTATG